TTGCGGACACGGAAGTGTTGCGTCGAATTGGAATGTATGCAGTGGACTGCATACTTTTGTTGAGACACCTGAGGGGGCTCGGTCATGTGAGCCGTATGGATTCGATGCGGATACCGAAAAAACTCTTATTTGCTCAGCTGAGTACTGGGAAGCGGAATGCGGGGAAACCAAAGTTACGTTACCAGGACATGATCAAAGTGATCCACTCACGTTCTAGTCTTGATTGCAGGTCGTGGGAATCGTAGGCGGTTGATCGGCGGGCATGGCGCGATCTGATCACGAAAGCAGTTGCCAAAGTGCAGGAGAAGGAACTCATGCATGCGGAGAAGAGTCGACAAGTTCGGAAGCGGCAAGCACCGATGGGTTGTACTGCATCGACATCGAGCGCATGATGTTGTAGCACATGAGCGTGGCCACTCGTGACCACCACCGAAGCGACGACGGGTCCTGAAGAGAACGTAGGCAGAACCAGTGCAGGGTTGGTAGGTACGCTGCATTCGATTTACTGACCGCGTACGTGCATGCTAAGGCTCTTGATTTCAGGTGGTGGGTTTACTATATTGTGCTAATGCCTTTTTATCTCATATTCATGTCTACCTGAAATATCTTTTTTAAACTTGCTTAAGCTAATTGCAATTAAGTTCGGTAACATTTTCAAGGTTGTGACATTTTCTGACGTATTGAAGCCTTCTCGGCTTTTTATACAACCAATTTATCTCATCCACTCATTTAGTGAAGAGTTATGTCTCCGGATCTGGATGCATTATTCGCTTTATTTTACTTGATATCGTCGCTTTATGTGATTGGCTGTTTTTTAGATCCCCGGTGTGGCTGCGCTTGATGTGCATTTTGACAAGGTGCCTACCTGTTAGTTACCCACTTCCTCGTCCGTACTGGCTCTAGGAGACAGTTGGTCGTTGCTGGAGGGGCAAGGGTGCAAAGTGCACGTGGCCGTGCTAAGCTTGAAGAGTCGTTCCATGCGCCTAGTGTGGAGCGGACTACGGTCCAGCCATCGCCTTGTGTGCACTTGGTTCCCCAAGTACAGCGTGCTTGTGTTTGCCTGTGAAGGAGTGTGGGTCAGCTCCGTATATGAAATGTGGCTCCCTTCTACATGCCTCCCGGTTTTATTCCTTCGGGTTAACACTGGAGATAGGGTGTGTGGTTGAAGCTGTGGGTGGTGCAGCGCACGCCACCTATGGTCACTCTGTAGGCGCAGGCGTCCTGTGGCTGGCCACAGTGAAAGGCATCTCAGAAAACGGATGCCGCCATATATATATGTATATATATATATATATATATATATATATATATATATATATATATATATATATATATATATATATATATATATATATATATATCCGTTTGTGTGTGTGTGTGGCTGGGTCCTCGGTTTACGCCATAGGTCGTACGACATGCACACCATTCATTCTGGTAAGGTGGAAATGCATGCACGGCGCAGTAGCCAATTTCCCACTAGATGAAACCACTTAGAGTTTAGCAGCCAGTGACTCCCACATCAACTAGTAGCTTGTCCCAAATTCATTTGGCTTTCTTCAATGCGATCCCTGCATTTTCTGGTAGCATCTTGACGATTCTTTTGTGTGGGTTTTAAGCAGACTTACTAGGGTAATAATCTTACATTGTTCACTTTTCTTAGCTCTTACCAGTGACTGCGTTATTGGCAAGTGATCAACATGCTGTTTGCGGGTGCTTGTTGTACGAGATCCTATAATGGCGCAGAGTAGTCCGGTCCCGTCGATACTTGCTTGGCGTACCAGCTACGGATGCTACAAGTTAAGGTATGGCGAAATTTTTGTTTCGTCTATTCATAGTAAGGAACTACGAATTGCTAAACTTCGGAGGTCAAGGACGCAAGCCAGCGGACTTTGTCAACAGCATCCAGGACTCTCTAATGAAGGATCTAATACAAATTGTGCGTGAAGTTTCGTCACATCTTGGCCTTCCAAATCGCCATTTGCCGCAATCTGGAATGGTCCCAAAGCTCGGACAACTTGTACCACACGAAATGACTGACGAGCACCTTTTTAACCGTTGTGCGATCGCATTTTCTTTGCTCACTCGAGGATGCAATCGACGATGGCTGGACGTTGTTTCTGGAGACGAAAAGGGAGGGAACTCGTTGTCAATCGTAGCAGGGAGCGTTAGTGAATCACAGCTGATGAAACGCCAGTAGAAGTCCCGCAAAAATGTGATGCTGTCGGTCTGATGGGATTGCCTTGGTGCATATATTGGGAACTGCCGCCTGACAATTCCACGGTTACTGCCGATGTCTATTGACAACAGCCACAAAGGATGGTCGACGAACACCGAAAAAAGCGTCCGAGAGCGGCTGGAATCCTTCTACATTACAACACAATACCTGTCAATAATCACACATCTCACGATTCATCAGCTCTGTATCGAACTGTTATGCAACCGGCATATAGCCCGAGTCTTGCATCTACTGACTACCACCTATTCCGCTCGCTGCAAAATCGTATATAGGACTAGACATTCGATGACCTCAACCATATCGAAACGTACCTTTCTCAATACTTTTATATCCAGCCCAGCTCGTTCTATAAGAGAGCCATCGACACCTTGCCTGATTGATGGCAATACGTCATTGGTTACGTTGATTAACTATTGTTGCTTGTTTAAAACAGATAGTGCTTGCAAAAGTATGCTAAAAGGGTCATTTGATTTCCAGACAGCCCAATACATCCCTGTGAGATTCAGGTGGCATTATTCTTTACTCCGCTGACATTCCTTGAGGAACACTTCCCTCGATTATGATCATGCCCTGATATGCCACCGATTTTTCCTAAACTTTACTGAATAAGCCATCGAATGTCGACCGACGAGCTGCTTCAGCTTATGTGCGTGCACACCTGCCAGGATGCCATGTTTGTTGCTCTTTCACCTGGTTGCTCTTAGAGCATCTTATGTTGATTGAATAGGGTCTCACTGTTGTTCATAAGGCGTGACTTTTTATTTGCAGTACTATCGGTCGTCAGCGCGCCGGGCACTAGACGTCCAAAAAATCAGTGAACCTGTTTACCACCGCCGTTGACACCCAATATGCCATCAGGCGCTACCTGATACAGAGGGCTAGTGAACTGAGAAAAGGCATCAGCGGTGCAAAATTACCCGGTTTTTCCAGCTAATCTACGCCACTGGTCTTTGTAGATCATCCAACACTTGGGTGCTCAGAGAGCGCATTAGCAATATTGAACATTGGTTTTATACGGGTAAATGAGCTAAAGCTTAGCAGATCCCGTAGGATGGTCATGATGAATATGGAAAAATCGTCAACAAAACTGTATTCACACCGGTGGATTCACCGAAATTTCCAAAAACTGTTAATCGACTGTAATTCCATAAGTAACGACGATAAATGGGACGTTGATAAATATTGCGCCGCCTCCTTATGAACAAATAGTGGAGGTGAAAGAAGTTCAAACGTATTCTGGTAGTTGATCGGCACTGGTCGGCCCGTAGCCTAGAGGTAACGACCTTGTCTCGTCTTGCGGCGCGGGTTCGGATCCGCGTAGGGGTGAGCCTCGTCACGGGTTACTTAGCCCGCGTGCGACTGGTGGTGGTCGCACATCAGCGAAGCGCCGTTACGGCGTACAGCTGACATATTACTTTTTTTCTTTGATCGGCACTGAAATTTCTAGCAGCCACTCGTGTTGAGCCATGGGCACTGGAGTCACGTGCGATGCTGTAGAGAAACATTGCACAGTGAACTCGGGTTCTGAACCCTACCAGCGTCGGAGCACAGATGGCAGATTCCGTTAGGGCATACCACACTTTGCAAACGCGTGCGGTAACTAAATCCTAACGGTCTGTCAAACGACTGTACTACTCTGCCAGCTTGAGATGGTGGCCTCTTAAATTACTGTTGTGACTGAGCTCTGGCAAATGGCGGCACTTGTGGTTGCGATCTCTCAAAATCTGGTAAGTCAAAACAGAGTCCCCACGCAATCGCCGGTATTGTTCGCTGAAGATCCCAATCCTTTGTCCATACAGCAAATTAAGCAATCCTTTGATATTCTTGGTTACTCGGTATTACGTTATATCCAGGGCGGTGAGATCCTTCCTCAGCCATCGCTACCAGACCTGTATTGCGTATTCCACATGTGGCCGTTTGCATGAACCGAGAAGTTGTGGAAAGGTCGAAAGTTCGAATTGTCCAAATGCACGCCTCAGGAGGTCCACTTGTTATATACCCCTTTTTGAAGCCTTATCAGCCTGCTTCGAACATCCAACTTTGGCCTGGATCAAAATGCCTGCATCCTTTTCACCAGAAGACTTTTGAAGCGCTTGGTTGCCGAGATTTTAGAAAGGTTATATGTCTTTTTGGGTTGAGTACTCTGAAACATGATCTCTTTAAGCTTATGCTTCTGATCTAGTTTATCTTCGGGTGGCAACGGTTGCACTACTGACTGTTTAATTTTTGGGCTTCCGATAAATCTACGTCCGAAAAGCGTTCGCTTTTATCAACCGGTTGTGCGCTTCTGCTGTCCTGACCTCTATTGTGCCCTTGTTACTTTAGGACGGTAGTGAGTTCCTCTGGACACACAGTTGCCCCACGATGTAATCCTCTAGCTGTTGCCATCTGATCTTGCTTCGGTCTTAACAAGATGACTGTCTTTGATATTTGGGATGTGCGTTAGGTCCAATTAGTATAGGACCACCTCTGTTTATCATTGCGTAATTAGTATATTTTACTCTATTAATTGTGACGCGTGCGTCACCGTTTGTTGTCTGTTGTTTACGCTGCCACTGCTTGTGTATCTAGTTATGCAGCTTCCATTTCACATCTTCCAACCCTCATTGCAGTCCAATGCATCCTGATCTATTCATCATTGTTTCTGCTCCTCTTTTTTCATAGTGTCTTGTCCTTTACAAATAATCTTGTTCTGTCCCAGAACTTTTTGCATTTGCCTAAGTAATTCATCGTTCGATGGAACGCGTTTTTAATTTTTACTTAGCTGGATTATTTCCATACTGCCCCAAGGCGACGCTGGCGGACCTGGTCAAGACACTGTCGGATCGTGTTCAGTCTTTGTTCGGACCTCCTGGGGTATGGCTGATTTTTCGTCCTTCTTTTTTGTATACATAATAATGAGGGTTTCTACTGATAATTTATGGGGAGCTCAATATTATCCTTTATCTTTTCATCAATTGCGCTACTTTTGCCCGATTTTCGTTCTGCTTCAGCACAGATATCCAACTCTCTCAACGAATTGAAAGAGTCTCAGTTTCGCCAACATTTTTTCTTAACATTTCTGCTTAACTAGTGTTAGCTTAAATGCATTCATGTGTTCTTTGTTTTTGCATCCTCCACTGTGGTCTCACTACTTCTGCACTTCCTGTATTGTGTCAGTGGAATTACTTTTGCCCGTTCTTACCAGTTTTAACACCTATTCAACCACAGTTTGCTCATGACAATCTAGTCCACACACTTCCCTGAATCTTTACTGTCAGGACTATGAGTTTAGTTTGGTGTCTGGGATTGTTCTCTTGGCTTGTTACTAAAACAACTGTATTCACCGCATTCACAGCCGGGTTATAAGGGGTAACAGCAGTACGCCGGTACGCAGTACTGATGCTTCGCTGCCGCGCAGTCACCAGCAGTCGCCCGTGAGTTACCGATACTGTGAGAGTCGCCCGGTCCCCTAAGCAGATTCAAATTCGCCCCCTCGGATCACGAAGCTAGCTTGTTATCCTTTAGGTTACGGGCCGGCACAACCGGGCATGTATGTAGTGCACGCCCTGTCGGTGCTTATTAGGACCAATACGTTTGATCGAACAAGGGTTGCATTATGCCGTGTAAACTGATCGGGCATTTACTGTTTGACTAATCCGTTACATATGCCGGAACGGTAGCAGAGATATCAATTAGCATGTACTTGTAGTGATACAGATTTCTACAACAGTCTTATAAAAGTTAAGTCATAAATACTTGATTCAAGTCCAGGTCGTTCAACTCAAGTCAAAATAGACCCTGTACACCTGGGTAGGTACATTTTTAGCCTTTCACACGATCACTGCATATGGGGGAATAAATAAAATTAGTGGATAAAAGCAAATACATGTGTCACCGCATCATGCTGATGAGTTTTATTGAGTCCACCAGTAATGATGCCCAGTACGGTAGGATAGAATGGTGGTGAGCAGCCGTACAAGAAATTAAAAGTCTAAATTTAGTGTGTGTAGGAGAAACAGCTAGCGCTTTCGTTAGAGTACGATGTAATGGGTGGAAAGGATCGTATAGAATATCAAAAGTGAAGCTAGTTCAAGCATCTACGTGTTTGTTGACAATAACACCTATATAAGAGCCTCTCTAGACAGTTCACTACATCTGTAAATAGGTTTTAACGAACGTTCGAACAATGGATAGCATTCTAACCTTGTAAAACCTTCCGACGTCATGACTAGGCATAGATAGATTTTGGGATAGAAAGTTATTTGAGTTGATGTTCTGGGTGTGAGTTGACCACTCACTGCCAATGAAGGAGTGGCATTCAAACTAGTCTGTAGCTTATCAGCCCGAAGTAGAGAGAATGTCACATCACAACATTTTAAAATGTTCAGAATGAGAGACCGGGACGATTATCTCAGTGCCAACTCTTCCAGACCACTCGGAAGATTAGATGTCTCAATCTTTGGAGCTTTACACCCTATAACGACATCATCAGGATACTTGCATCCAAGAAAGTTGGACGGTATAGGAACTTTTTCGATATATAGAGAAAACATCGGGGGAGAAAGAATTGCGCCTTGTAAAACTCCACATTCAGAGCATTGTTAAAAGACTTTGTTCCAATTCGCTGAGTGAATTGGGTACGGTTTGTACAGTAGTCTATAATCACGCTGTAAACATCTGTAAGAACCCCACTCGTAAGCGGATGGTTGAGTATGATTGATCTGTTAACACTTCCCTATAAGCATTTGAATAATAAAGAAACAACAGGTGCACCAGTGCACTTTTCATGCAGTGCGGCTGATATCGAATGCACAAGGTACGACACAGCATCTGGTGTAGAGTGGTTGTGTTTATAGGCAAACTGGTATACCTCGTTTGTCTGGGTGCTTGTGAAAATCAGAGTTACAAGCAATTTCTCGAAGACTCTCAACATCGTCGACGCATATGCAATCGGACCATAGCTTTGATACTCCCTCTTTGACACATGCGTTATCTTTACAAGTCTCGAAATGTTTGAGATCGTCCCATTGATAACGGTCGAACGGTTAAGGGTACCGCGAAATAATCCCCACACTCTCTTAGAACGAGTGGGGATGAGGCAGCAAGTCCAGCAGTCTTAGTAATCTTCAATCTTTTGAATTTCCTATAAACATCCAAGTGATCGAGGATGACTCCGGGACTTGTGTTGGTGCAAGATAGCAGTGAACACATACCCTGTGGGAAAGAACAAAACTCAGCTGAGTCTGTCCAACTTATTCACCAATCTCTTATGAAAATCACTGAATCGGTATGTTGCTACTTAAATTAGATGAAGTTATACGGTCTCTACAAAAACGTTTGGCAGTCTTTACTAATCAAGACGTTTCCCACTCTTGACTAGTCTTTCCGACCAATTGTCATCTTTTGAGCTCGTTATTTTTGATCTCTCATTCCCGTATTTCGCAGCCCGGTGACTTCAGTCGCTCGTGTTTCGCAATCAACAAGTTGGTATCACAAGTATTGGTCCGCACAAAGTGAGTTCCTCATGCACACGCGCTCGGCGTTTTGCGGTTCATTCATTTCAGACCAACATCCATTCTTTTAAAAGCAAAAGATGGCTAGGCGAACAAGCTTGTTTTCAGTGGTTTGCATCAGGCCAATACACCACGGAAAAATACAGGGTATTTAAATACGATGCATCAATGAAGTGAATTGATCGGTCAATGAGATCAAGTGACAACACCGGCTAGGGCAACTTTATTGGAAGGGTTAAGCGTGACGTGATTACATGGGGACGCTTGAGGCCATGGTAGCTGTAGAGCCTGTACAAACTTCTTTTGAACACATAAGTCGGGGTTATGGTGCCGAATAGCGATTATCTCCGCTGTCGCTAGTAGGCGACATTGGCGTGCGACAAGGATGCACAGTGCCACCGTTTCTATCCAACTTTGCGATCGACGATGTCCTCGTTGGAGCTTTAGAGAGCCTGTAGAACTTCTGCATTGAGCTTTTTCCAGGTAATCGCGTAACCGACTTAGACTACGTTGATCATATCGGCTTGCTCGGTGACGACTCACATGGGACGCAATAGATCATTGTTCGATTGGTGATTGAAGCGTTCAACTTTGGTACGTGTTTTGCCCTCTGCAATTGCAAAGTTCTTTTTCAGGACTGGCAAGCACCCCTTTCTCAATTCACCATCGAAGACAAACAGCTCGAACACGTAGATAGTTTTATCTACCTATGGAGCTGCGTCTCTGCCGACGGCACTTCGAATCGCTAAAGCCCGGTTGTCGTTCACCAGCTTGAGATATTTATGGCGCGGTCGCGACATTTCACTTGCGCACACAGGCTCCTAGCAGTGTCCGCAAGTGTATCTACCCAAACATGTTCATCGTCTTTTGAACCCCAACCAGGGAGTCATGACGCTCCAACCAAGTCCAGCTCCGAAGTGAAGGCATTCATTCCTTTCGACCAAGTCATCGCTTAGCCACCTCTCCTCTTCTTCCATCCACGCCCCCAGCGAGCAAACAATGCACGTCGCGGGATCCTGTGGTCTGGCATGCGTAACCCGTGACCGAACCATCGGAGCCTGGTGTGTGAAATTACGGTGCTGAGCGGTTCATTTCCTTTTCCCTTGCCGTAAACAAGGCGCCGAATACGCTCGTTACTCACGCGGTGTTCCCGCCAGATGTGAACCAAACTGCGAAGACACCGATGGTCGAACGTAACTAGCCTCTTTATGTCTACTGATCTAATGAGCCAGCTTTTCCAACAGTACAGCAGGGTCGAACGTACCGCCGAATTGTACACTCTACCCTTCAGGGTGAGAATGACGTCCCGCCGGTGCCATAGGTAGCGAAGACTAGCAAAAGCACCTCGGGCTTTTGCTATACGGTTCGTGATCTCATCTTCAATCCCAAGGGCGCTGTTACAACATCCCAGGTTGTTGAATTTCTGAACGACCTCTAGCTGATCTCCACCAAGGGTCAGTGCAAGGGGCGATCCTTGCCAATCTTGGAGGAACACTTTGCACTTCGATGGTGCAAAGCAAAGCCCCAAGCGGCTGACAGCCAGTGCTTATCTGCCCAGTGCAGCTTGGCACGTCTGGGACCTGTTAAAGATGAGGGCAATATCGTCTCCATACTCCAAGTCAAGAAGTCGTCCTCCTGACAGTAGCTCTACACTTTCTAAGTCGTGTCCTGTAAATGCAATCTCCATGACTTCGTTAATAGCGAAGTTGAAGAGGAAAGGTGACAGCAGGCATCCTTGTCTCACACCGCCAGAGATATTGAAGGGCGGCGACAGCTTGTCGTAAGCCCTCACTCTGCCCGTGCTACGCGCGTATAATGCTCGGATAATATTTACATATTTCTTGGGCACACCTTTCCCACGTTTACCACGTAGCGCCTTGTTTGCTCACGCTGGGTTACTTTGGCGTGGAGCTCAACCGTCCACCTGGCGACAATGCATGAAATCGATGACATCTTGGCTGAACATCGTTGGACCCATTAGACCCCATCTGGGGACTCAGAGATGAAGAATGCGAATGGCTCACAACGCTGGAAGCAAGGGCGCAAAACTGGTCGCAGTAGAAGCAGTGTACACATTTCCGCCTGATCTCACGTTTACAAAACATTTACAAACCCTTAAAACCCGCAGGAAAAGTACGAAATGACGTGTGTAAAACGAAACAAATTATCGTTCTGTTTTTAATTGATTATCAATTTTTTAAACTTTTGTACGTTTTGTTATTTATTATACCAAACACCCTGTTTTTGAATGGGTCAATCTCTTCATATATATATATATATATATATATATATATATATATATATATATATATATATATATATACTTCATCCGTATCCACATTGGCATGTCACTGTAGCCTCCACGGCGTATCCAACTTATCCTTGTAAACGTATTTGCCTGATGTGAGTTACCGAAAAGCGATCTCTTCGCAACCGTGTTTTCTCCTCAAATTTACTCGTGAAGATCATCGTAGCTTGTTTGCACCGGCACCATGGTGCTACAACGGGTTAGCGGCATCCGGTTTCGGATTTGCCTGTCACTGTGGCCAGCCACAGGACGTTTGCGCCTACAGAGGGACAATGGAGGGCTTGCGCTGCACCACCCACAGCTCCATGCACACACCCCATATCCAGTGTAAACCCAAAGGAATAAGACCGGGAGGCATGCGGATGGAAGCCACATTTCATATACGGGGCTGGCCCACACTCCTTCACAGGCAAACACAAGCACGCTGTATTTGGGGAATCAAGTGCACACAAGGCAGTGGCTGGACCGTAGTCCGCTCCACACTGGGTGCATGGAACGACTCTTCAAGCTTAGCACGTCCACGTGGACTTTGCACCCCGGCCCCTCCAGCAACGACCAACTGTCTGCTGGAGCCAGTATGGACGAGGTGGTGGGTAATAGACAGGTAGGCACCTTGTCAACATGCACATCGAGCGCAGCCACATCTGGGATATCAGACAACCACCAATCACTTGAAATGAGAGTAACAAATAAAATGTATATGTAATAAATTGGTTTTCACTAATTCCGCAGTAGGTGGGGATATCACATAATATATTTTTACCAAATGCCACAAACGCGCAAATGTTAGCGAACTTAAGCCCAGATAGCTTAAGCGACGTGTGCAAGTTAGTAGCAGAGTGTTTAAGTAAATAGTAATATGGGATTAGTCAGTTTAGCAAACCCACCACCTGAAATAAAGAAACTCAGCACGCAAGCACGCAGTTAGTAAATTGAATGCAGCGTACCTACCAACGCTGCGCCTGCTCTGCCTACGTTCTCAGCAGGACCCGTCGTCGTTTCGATGCTGGTCCCTAGCGGCTTTACTCGTAGCTCACTAGGCCTGCTTGACTCATCACTTGCGACCGCGTGTGCTACAGCACTATGTGCTCGACATTGATTAATGACACCCCATCGGCCACAGTCGCTTCCGCAACTGCCGCTTTTTCACTCCATGCACGAGGGCTTTCTCTTGTACGTCGGCAGCGGTCTTCGTGATCAGATCGTGCCATGCACGCCGATCAACCGCGTTTGATTCCCAATACCTGAAATCAACATTAGAATGTGATAGACTCACTTTGATCATGTCCTGGTAACAAAGCTCCGGTTTCGCTACATGCCGCTTCCCCACACTCAGCTGACCATATGAAAGCTGCTTCGGTATCCGCGCTGTCGTTTCACCATGAACTTTACCGGAATGCGCACCAAGAGTCTCCACCTATTCACAACTGAGAAATTTTCTCAGCCCTCGGTCAGTCAAGCCTATCAAGACTCACTGCGTGCCGAGCTTTCGTTATCTTGTCCTTATGACACTGAGCTTCAATGGAATAGGATTTCGGCCGCCATGCGCGACGCAGGAGCGTCTACTTGTGGCACTATCAATCGTCACCGCACCAGTCACTGGATATCCGAGAGGTCGGTGAATCTGTTGGAATCCAGAAGAAACCTTCTGCCTCTCTGATCACAGTGTGACCAGACGGAATGTTAGGCGGGAACTAAAGCGGAGTCTACGTGCTCACAATGAAGTCTGGTGGACCAGTCGGACTCAAGAAATGGAGGAAGCAGGAGCAGTAGGCAATTACCGCGTCGGTGAGACAATCAGAGACAGCGCGGGTGCGCTGATACACAACAATGGGTGCCGTATGGCTCGTTGTGCGGAACACTTTCAAGATCAGTTCAGCTGGCCCCCTGCTCCCGAACCTCTTCCTACTCAGGTAATGCAGGACGAGCCATAGACGCTTAGTTTAGAGCTTCTGTCGGAGGCCGAGGTCCGAAAGGCGATCACAGCCCACAATCGTTTTCATACCGCTGGTTCGGATTCCCTCCCACCTGCACAATTTAAGGATGGAGGTGAGGTCTTCTACAAAGCACTGACCTCCTTATTCAAACGTATCTAGAAGGAAGAGAGTGTCCCGGCTAATTGGAGCGAATCGATTGTAGTGGCGATATACAAGAAGGGCAGTCGCACAGACTGTTCTAACCATAACGGTATGAGCAAAGAGCAGGCAGGTTTCCGCCCACGATGTGGCTGTATAAATTATATATTCACTCTGCGGCAGGTACTGGAGCAGCTTCACCCATACCGCAGACCGATAACCTTCCGTTTAGCGTTGCAATAGAAAAGTTCGTTTCTTTGATGGTAGCAGCAGGTTTGTGCTTATAGCAGCTAAGTAGAGGATACGGAAAGTGTCGCTCCCCAACGGACTGTTGCCATTGTGGTGGAACTCACTGTCAATACTGTTGAAATTTTAAACGCGTGTTTCTCTCACTTAAGAGTACACTTCGTACGAATCTTGTGGCAAACACATTTTACTCCCTGAAAACTTTTCATGAGACGAAGTACACTATTGTCATGTTCGCAGTCGCTCACGTAACCATAGCTGGGTGCAAGTGTGAGACTTTCAACCAACAGTGATTGGCGCATGGGAAAATGTGCAGCTGTTCATCACTGCCTCTGACATCTGACGTGTTATTTATTACTTCACTGATGTGGCTTAGGCCTGAGAGAAATTCGCATATGCCTTGTAAAACGAAGCAACATCAGCTACCAGAACGCCCCAACAAACTTGTTCCTACGCTTACTTTCTTTTGATGCATTTCCTGAAAGAGTTTTGCTTTTTTTGTGTTTTCAGCGCTGCATCCACAAATATACTTACTGCCGTTCACTGTCAACCCACACTTATCGAGTCAAACACAAACCTACACCTGAAAACTTTGGATACCTGCCCTGAGAAAAAAACATTGCTGGCTTGGAGCTGTTCAATGCGGGAATCAGAATCAAAGCTTATGATTGCGGAATTGACTTCCAGGCAACCGTATACAGATTTGAGGTGCTGATTCTTCTGTTTTTATCCTCTTTTACTCATAGATTTAACCATAAAGATAATTGTGGTATAGTTACTCGTGGTTCATCCTGCTGGTTCCGTTTATCGAGTGGTTACCGTTCGCAATTTCAACTCCGTCACATACATAGTACATGACCCGGTCTCTATGAAATAATCTTATGCTCACTCGACTTCATTTCCGCGAATCACGCTGGTTAGAGTGCAGTGACAGTCATCACTGGTAAACGGTACATATCGTTTAACAATCGTCAGGACCAGTGACCTCCCTCAGCTTAGTGCTTTCCCATAGATTAAGTGGATTGCTGTTCTCGCCGATAGGAAGCAACCAGTCATGATTACTCACGAGCCCGGCGTCTTTGTTGGCATACCGAATGCGGTCAGGCTGTTGTTGTTTTTGATTGGATCTACGCGACCGTCAGATGACCGCCTTAGTTTTGCACAGCCCTTCTGTCTGTTTGTTCGATTAGCATTATCATCCAGTTTTGCACTCCTCATTTCAGCATCACACGAACCGTCTGCGTTGCAATTGATACCTTACCCTCCGTGTCGGATCATAACAACGGGTAAGAGCTTCACAGATTCTTACACCCAATGTTCATTATCCAGTGCGATTAATTCCTACCTATTACCCATGCTTAAAATACAGATACCTTGATTCTTTCTCCTCTATCCAGATCCTTTGAATTGCTGGGTCTTGAATTCTTCACCTCGGGCTCTCTCCTCTTGCTCGTCAGTCGTCCCTCACGTTCAACTGATCCATCGATTTCATCCGGTTCTTTTAAAGACAACAATCCCAGTTGGTTTGTTATGCTACAAATACAGGAAGTGCTATCGGCGAGCAACCATGCATTCTACAACTGCGACAGTAGTTTCCCGGATCCTCTTTATTCTTTTATCGACGAATCCCTTAGAATCGTGTACGTTCTTAGCTCGTATGCACATCCAAATATTTCCCCTAATCTATTCAACTAATGAGCGCATCCAGATGGTATGCTCTGAATTTTTTAGTTTATCATGTTTTAGCGTTGTAATGACCATACTGTTTCATTGGGATACGAAACACCAAAAAGGCTGATCACGGGCTCAACCATGCTGTTTCCTACTCTTGCTAAAACATAAAAGCATCGAGTTTGGGCATCGGTTTGGACATTGTTAGACTTTGAGAATAATAAACATTTACACGTCAAACACAGTGAATTCGTGAAGTTACAACTAGTATATACTGTTTTCAGATGTCCTGCGCGACTGTCGAATTGTATCACACCCGATCATGTCGAGCCGCTGCCACAGAATGCGATTAGATTTACTTCTAACGGAGAGCGATCTATCGTGTTTGTAGTAAGTCTACTATGTAACTTCCTGATAATGTGCCCACAGATATCGTGCTGTGTTTTAGCCATATCTGACATCTTAGGAGCTCGGGCACCTGAGCGTATTGTTTAATCGTTCACCTATTAGCACTTTAAAATATTGGTTCCTTACGTATTCTTGTTTCGCGGATAATGTGACCAGTTGCATTTGTCCACCATGGGCAACCTTTACTCGACCACTAGAATTTTAATACCCGAAAGTGAACCTCTTTAGGCGATACAATCAAAGTTGTTTGTGGTACATAGCGAGTAGACTGTGTCTTTCGATTTGTCCAGCAGACTACATTTACACGGATGTCCCATCGCAGTGAAACTGAATATTGATGTTGCGCAATTGTTCACGCACTTCTGTTATCCAACAGTTCACACTGCATTGAACCCAGGGTTTGTCCCTAGGTCTCAACAACTTTACATGAAAATCAGGGAACGAATGCACGTGGGCCTTTGTCCAGCTCGACGACAACAGAGCACGAGCGCCACCGATTGTATTCGAGAGCACAACCCTTGCACCATGACCCCTACTCCAAACTAGAAAATTCCTAGCTAATCAGGTGATATACTCTTCTACTGGTTTTCTGATGCTTTGGAATGATCAGCAGCGCCCTGTCTTCTGTACGAAACGGGTAGATAGGGGTAAGGATGTTACTGCCCAAGCGTTCCTTTTCATCACCCTCTCCCAACTCCACTTTTATCCGCCTGTTTACAACTCAATTATTAGCCCTCTTCCATCATGCATTGATAGTCGTTTCTCTTCTAGTGTCGACTCGCATGCAATCGCTGGACGTCGCTCCAGTCCTGTCAACAAGTCCATGTTCAAGCAAGCAGACAACGTCAGCCCATCCGTTTGCATTTGTAGCCCTTGATCGTCGCTATGACTGGTATGCCTCAACGCGCACATTATGTTAACATTGGTCAACAGACAGCACTTCCACGAACACTACAGACTCTATCGATCGATATCTGCTACTTATCGAAAACTCACTTGCTCTGTGCATACTCTGCGATCCCCCACATGCGACAGTGGTGACACTATCTCATTGCATTTGTCCGCAGACGACGCAGCTCCATATGCCTGTCAAGCTGGTGTGGGCATTGCTCTTAGCCCCCGGGGTTGACTGGATCCCAACAAGCAGCGGGATATGCCCTGTCAGATTGGCCGGCTCATTCAAAGCTTCACAGTCGTGCGCATACAAACGGTCTCATCATTATCAATACATATTAGCTGAGGGTGAGAAACGCCTCCGCCAATGTGCCGCAATACAAAAGGATAAGATGCTGAAGGCGACTCTACAAAAAGATTCAACAACTCAAGAAATATAACGTTAAATATTGTATTAATTTGCTATGAGATCGTGATTCGAGAGGGAGTCTAAAGCAGAGGGGGATGGACAAAGAAACTTCAACACAAATGCCATTGGGGCCGGTTCCTAGCCATGTCTGCGAGCGTGTCCAACGAAACGTGTTCATCATCCTTCGGACCCCAGCCAGGCAGTCGGGATGCAGCAACGGACGCCAGCTTCGAATCTACGGTGTATGTTATTGCGGCCCACGCGCCCACAAATTGTAGCGCTGGCTTAGTGAATGATGACTTCCATCACCAAATGAATGAGCTCATTCGTTACAGGAAAAGCACGAATACTGTGGTGCTTGCTGGTGATCTGAACGCCCAGGTTGGAGAATTGTCTACTGAAGAGTTTCATATGGGCGACCAACATGGTATAGGCTCCAATAATAATAACGTTGAGCGGTTGCTGCACCTGTGTGAGTTAATGCTCGTCTCTTTCATGCGAGCACTAACTTCCGACACAGAACCCGCAGAAGGGTGACATGGCGCCCAGCCGCCTCAAATCATCCATGGGCGCAAATCGATCAAATCGCGATCAGTCACCGCTGAAGAGGCAGTGTCCAACACTGTCGCTCGATTTGGAGCACGAGCATAGACTTTGGCTACGCACTCGTTTGTGTCGGTCTTACAGTTCGCTTCGGTGGGCGTATACGGCGACGCTGTGAGTGCATAGATACTTGCCAGCAGGCGGTCAGATGCTCTAAATGCATATCAAACTACGATGGTATTCCACCTGAGTGAGCTGTCTCTGTACACAGTGGAAAACCACCGGACGTTATTAGCAGAAGACACGTTTTCATGTGGCAAGTCAAACTACCAACCTGGATATTGGGTCTCTCACAGTCTCTGAGACATCTGGATAATCGCCGACACGTTACGGCTGGGAGATAACACAACGAGACTCGCAGACCGCAGGGTGGAACTGCGTGCTAATCTGAAGTGAGACGGCAAGGCCTTGTGTTCTAATCGTGCAACGGAGATGAGAATGGCTGCTTCCTTGGTAAGCATCGGAAGTGATTCCGTCTGATACGGGAAACGAGCAGCAGGAGACCTGGTGTTAACGAGACGTGATCAGACTATTAAAATTGAACAAAGCCGCAGGAGCAGATCGACTTTATCCAACCCTCAACAAATTCGGGAGTTCTGCTCTAGTAGAGAATTTGCACAGCTTACTAGTGAAGCTGCTGGAGCAGAAAAACTTCCCAGCAGATTAGTATCGCTCCGTTAAAGCCCCGATTTTCGAGATGCGTCAATCATAGAGAAATCCATCTGATCTCAAGTGCATCTAAGTTACGTGCCTCCGTCGTCTTGCATACACTGACTGGCACTCGTGAAAGTCAGATTCGTGAGGAGCAAGCCGAGTTCCGTCGAAATCGAGGTTGTATTGATCAAATCTTCATATTAGGCCAATTGTTGGGACACCGCCACATATATTGCCGACGCACAGTACTCTTACTCCTCGACATCACAAGTGACCTCGGTTCGGTGGATCGATGTGCGCCTTTGGACTATATGCTTTGGAAAGATGTATTCGATAAACATGTAAACGTCATAATTGCGCTGTACTCGCATAGTTCGAGCAGAGTAAGAGTTTACGGGAAGCTGCCGCTGATCTTCAGTGCCTGCAGCGGTGTGAGACAAAGATGCCCGTTGCATCTGTCTTCATCGACATCTTGCTGCATAGTAGCCGGTTGGTGGCCTACCAGAATGATGTCCACCCGTTAACGGTTGCTCAGATGACATGCACGTAGCAGATTTTTTTCTTTCCTTTTCTTTTGTATTGCGGCATAATATCTGAGGTGTTTTCTACGTCCAGCAAAGGTGTATAATGAAGATGATGTCAGCGTACTTTAAGTCAAAAAGTCGATCAAATGGGAGCGACTACACGCCCACTAAGTCGCGTGTTATGAATGCGATCTCCATGAATTCGTTATTTGCGAATTTAAAAAGCAGTGGTGACAACGGGCATCCTTGTTTTACCCCAAAGGAGATAATAAAGGGCAGCGACAGCTTGCCGAGAGCCCTCACTCTGCCCGAGCTAGCGCATACTTCTCAGGTACACCTTTCCTGAGTAGACAGTCCCAAAGGGCACATCGATCAACCGACTCGAAGACACCTTTGATGTCAAGGAACATGACAACGGTGGGCCGCTAATATGTGTGACGGTGCTCTAACAAGTGACGCAAAGTAAAAGTATGTGGTCGATGCAACCTCGACCTCGACGAAACCCAGTTTGCTCTTCACGACTTTCACGAGCGCCAGTCATTCTGCGAAGCATTACAGAAGCAAGTAATTTGGAGGCGATGGGGACCAGGCTGATTCCTTTATACCTGTGGTATTCCGAACGGGAGGCTCCTTTGAAGATGGGAACAATAACGGAGCGGCTCCAGTCGGTTGGGACAGTCTCCTGCTCCCCCAGTTTCGCTAGTTATTCGTGTAGATCATCAACATAAGCAGAGCCCCCGAATTTGAAGAGGGCTGGATATAGATCATCCGGCCTCGCTGCTTTGTTCCACTTCAATCGTCCAATCTCACTTTTGACTTCTGAGCAAGAGGGCGAATCCAAAGGGACAGCCCAGGGAGCACGGCGATCACTGGCCAGTGAGAAATCGAACAATTCCGGCCGATTAAATTGCTTTTCAAAATGCATAGCCCAACACCCTAAACATTTTGACAAATCGTGGATAGGCTGTCCACTCTTGCCATAAATCTTTTCACTAACACCAGGTCTCCTGCTGTCCGTTTTCCGTATCAGACGGAATAACTTTCGATGGTTATCAAGGACAGCGGCCACTTCCATCTCTGACCCACGAAGAGGCCACCAGGATTCGCGGTCTCTCTTCAGGCTAGCACGGAGTTTTGCCCGGAGCTCTTTGCGAGTTTCGTTGTGTTCGCTTCCAGTTGGAATATGTCGGCGAGCATCGGTAAGTTCCAGAGACCGCGAAGAGACCCAATGTCCATGTTGGCTATTAGACTTACCACATGAGGATTTGCCTGCTGCTAGTAAGGTCTGGTGAACATACGAACAGTGACCTTTAAGTGTCTCCATTGAGCGCTTACTCAAATCGCATGTCAGCGTACTTTGATAGGCATTCAGAACAGCTGGCTTCCCCACTTGGCTGGTGTCAATGCTTTCACAGCGTCGTCGTGGGCGTTCGCCAAAACGCATCCGCATGTCAGCACCTACAAGTGCATGGTCAGTGTCCACACATGTGCCCCGAATCGAGCGATACTTTTGGACGCACTCTCTCCAGCGATAACTGATCACGATGTGATCGATCTGCGTCCAAGGCTTGTCTAAGGCTGATGGGCGCCATTTCACCCTCCGGCGGGTGCTGTGTCGGAAGTTAGTGCTCGCAAGAAATAAGCGAGCATCCGCACACACAGATGAAGTAGCCGCTCACCGTTATCATTACGGGAGCCTACACAGTGTTGGCCGCCCAGATATTATTAATCAGCGGACAACTTTCTAACTTGAGAGTTCAGATCTCCTGCTAGCACAACAGTGTCCTTGCTTCTTCTGTGGCGAAGGATTTCGGTCAATTGGCGTTGGAAGTTGTCTTTAACGAATCCTCGCTGGAGTTTGTGGGCGCGTAGGCAGCGATGATGAATAGGCACCTATTAGTCTCGCGCGATTTCGGAGCTTTGAACGAGTCAGCGAATCGGACCGCACACATCCGGCTACTGATTGGGATCCACTCAACTAGAGCAGCTTCAGCCCGGGGATTCTGGACAATGCCAACACCGACTTGGTCGATACTCGAATTTGTATCGTCACCGGATAGGTTTAATGAGGAAATGCTGCTGGCGTCACTTAAAGGGGATCGCAGAGTGAGCACAGAGCTCGAGTCTTTCAGGTGGGTTACCGATAGGTAGCAAATATCCATGCAGCGGGTCTCTAATGTCCATGCAAGTACTGCCTGTTGTCCGATCTGTAACAACGTGCGTACGTTGTGGCATGCAAATCTGAGGGAGGATCGAGGGCTCCAAATGGAAGCCAAAAAGCTGGAGTTGTAGACGGACAGGCGTGGCGTTCCGCGTTGGCATGTAAGTTGAAACCAGAAGATTGATTGCTATCAAAGGAAGGTTGGGGACGGTCAAGTATTGGGTGGTTTAAAACGTAGTTGGATCTGGAGGATAAGGGTGAAAATGTCGGGAGGGCTTGAGAAGTGGCATCCAAGTCCCTATCCATCCTGCTCGATGCAGCAGCTAAGGCACCGTTAATTCTCCTCTGCGGCGGCCAGCACTTCAAGGAGAGGTTCATTGTGTACTATAGTACGCCTACCACATTGCCCTAATATGTGAGAGCTCCTCAACGTGCGAAATGACACTGAATGCATTAGAATTGGCTGTCAACCGTTTAAGGTTATGCTACGGCCTGGAAGTGCAAGGTCCTGTATGATTTGCAGTGACCTGCCATTGCACTGACCATTCTGGGTATCAGCTAGAAGTCGTCCAGAGATTCAAGTATCTGAGGAGCTATATTCGCCCCTGTGAAGTAGGTTATGAGGTCACAAACCATATATCAAAATCGAGAAGCGCTTTTGCCAATCTCCGCCATTTGTGGCACCGGTGAGACATCACATTCGACCCGAGGAGCAGAGGTTACATTGCAGCCGTTCGTTCAGTCCTCCTATACGGTGGGGAAACTGGCCCATCAAGTCGACAGACTTAAAGGGGCCTGTCTCGTTCGGCTGTCGCTGCCTTCGCAGCTTATCTCATGTCAGTTGGGAGCACCGCGTGAGTAATGAGCGTATTCGGCGTCGTGTACTTGGTTCAGTAAAAGCGAACCGCTCAGCACCATTATATCACGCACCAGGCTCCGATGGCTCGGCGTCGTGTTGCGCATGCCAGCACACCGTCTCCCGCGACTTGCATTGTTTGCGTGCCGGGGTGCGGTTGGAAGAGGAGGAGCGGAGGTCAAGCGATGACTTGGTCGAAAGAATTGAAAAACCTCACTTCGAAGTTAACGTCGGTTGGTGTCTGCCGACTGCTTGGCTAGGGTCTCAAGAACAATGGACTCGTCTGGTTGCATACACTTTTGGAAATATTAAGGAGCCGACCGCATTGGCGTTTGTGTTGTGAGTCTCTTTCTCTTTACACATTTTGTTTAATTTCCCCATCCAACTGGGATCTTAGCATGGAAGCATAACATGTTTCCAAGCGGTATGTTACCTATGTTTTTGTATTCTGTAACGTTTAGTTTCCTATTTTTTAATATATCCTTTCTTTTTGTATTGCGGCACACTATTTTTAGCGTTTCTCTCCTTCAGCTATTATGTGGTGATCAACTAAGTGCAGACGCGGTAACCGTGGTCTGAAGTGATTCATCTGGTACGGACAAAATACATAAATACTTTTTAATTCTTTTTTGATTGCGCGTGACCGCTGTCAAGCTTATCCATTCTTTGTTGTATCCGCACTCCCAAGCTGGTCCTACTCCCAGTGCGCTTCGTTTCAGACAGTTGTTTCGAAGCCCTGGATCTTCGCACCGAATCCAGAGATGGTTGCTGTATTGCAAAACTACGGTCTCTGAAGGCGCAGTCCGGAGTTGACCACTCCACATAAACCGGCCGTCAACTTCCCTGCTCTCCTCTATATGCTCTCATATAACCTCTTTCTACATTCTTGAGCAAAAGACTTTTCATAACTTTCCATCTTGGTTAGTGGCGCCTCTAACTTGTCTTTCACATCGCAAAATCTTGCTTCATGTGAGGATTTTCGATGTCTGCATTCTGTCACATCAGTTAAAGATCTACGCCTGTTCTCACTTGCACATATGTGTCATGCCTCAACGTGGGAAGACCGAATACGGATGCCACAAAGCCTTGGCGTTTTCCAAACTCGGGTTCAATAGCGATAGTTGTTTGTGTCCACGTCTCTATTGGTTCGTATTCGACAGGAATATTGAAGATAACCAACTCAAATTAGTCCCCATGGTGACTTCCTGAATATGGTTTAGGCTTTCATGTTCCGCAAAGCAAAGAAACGGTATAAAGTCATCTTGCTTTTATCGTATCACTTTGTGCTTACAACACTCATCAATGTCCCATAAGGTATTCACGATTAAACTTAGAGCAAAGGCAACCAGCGGAAATTGGTGGTCGCGTCAAACAAACATGCGCAGCTTATCCTCAGCCTAAACCTCTAGCTTAGGCTCCACTAGGGATAAATATCATTCTGAAAGCATGCGGCCTGCGCAATCTGTTTTGTATGCTTGACCCAAATTGTGTAGGCGCTCCGAAGTTGTGTCGAAGCCGAATCTTGTTAGCGTAACCTAACCTCTGCATACATTAATGCTCTATCTGAATTTCTTCTCTACCAGCTCTTCAAAACAACTACTCCTTGTCGCGTCTACCTATTGGAGCGTCCGGATGCAGAAGAATCCTCAAATGCGACAGATACGGTGAAACCAAAGGAAATGGAGAAATACACATAGTTGAGCCACTCAGACCATCTTTCACACCTTTTGCAGATCCCATTGCAAATTTTGACATACATCGGTTGTTTATACATTTGTTTCTAGATGAGTGCGTATGATGGCTTTCGACACATTTTCACGTTGGATTACTAGTCCTTGATGTAAACGTAGGTTGACGAATTGTACTATGTGACCAAGCACGTTCACTTAAATGTTCACTTATCGTTACGTTTAGATTTCTCCGAAGCATCGGGATCGCTTCTTAGCCAGTACATATGTTATATATACTCTTCAAACAAAGTGTCCGCATAACACGCGTGACCGAAAAATATCCCTTGAAGCACCCTGAGTGTCCGTTTTTTATGCCCCTGGCCGTCTCATTGAGATACATTTGGGACGAATTTTGATCAGGCGGCAATATTTTACGGTGCACCCTCAGCACATACCGTGAATTCAATTTTCCTAATTGTGATTACCGAAACAATAGGCAGAAATTGTTTCGCAGCTACGCAATACTAAACCCGTAAGGTTAAGCCGAAAATAATTTTGTGTGACTGAAATTCGTCCCAACTGTTTCTCATTTGGACGGTCAGAGGCACAACAAATGGACACTCAATGGCAATCCACCGGTTTCTCGTACTGGCTGAAAGTATGATTTAATTAAAAGTAGCGACTTGTGGATATAGTAGCATTTAATAATACGTATATGGACATATAATACCATTTCTTTTCTTTTTTGCCTCTGCGATTGACCGAAAGCGCGCCCAAATGGGATGCTTGGCCGTCCATCTGTGTGGACAGGGAAAATTGAGTCTTAAGCCAATGCTTCATTGTCCACGCCTCGGGGATAGGCACTCGTTCTTATCTGTCTGCTCTGCAACACGGTTCTGATCATCCTCTGATCTCCGTTCTGCCAATCTTGAGAAACGAGACGGATTGCTTTTGAAAGAGTGACACTAGAAAATTCCATTGGATAGCTGCAATACTAAGTACGACCCTGAAGCTGATGAGCTAGAGTGAGGGATGTTTCATCAACGCTTGCCCTGTACTGTCATAATTACCTTGTTTACTTGCAGAATCCCTGCCTCGGTTAGCACCTAGTCGGCAGCCTCTAAGTTCTCGCTGGTCTGCGTGCTCCATCCGACACACTACTCCACTCACATTGACAGCCTATAATACTCATTGTATGCCACTACCTTCAGTTCCACTTATCAGGCTTTCTGGAAATGGAGTATTTTTCATATCCTGCTGACTTCGCCAGCTTCTCTAATAAGAGATCCAGGTATGCTTTAAACCCAAGATACCATGGACTCCAACGTCTATACTCTTTGTCGGGTCGGTTAACTGGTGACGCTGACTCCTACCTGGCACTGAGTCCTCGTTGCGTGTTGTGGGACCAACCAGACGACAGACCAATTTGCACTCAAAAAGGCCACCTTGCTAGCGTCTACAGTTGGCGCACTTTGGCGTAAAATTTCTGGTTCATCTGGACTAACTTTGCAAATTCCAATCACATCTTAGTATGCTTCCGGATTGTCACAAGAGCCAGATTTTAAAGGATAAAAAGTCTAGCCAGAAAAAACAAGTCAGCGAAAAAAGCGCTTACGGCGGTCTTCATTGGGTTTACATCCATATTCTCATGGCGCATTCAAAGTGACGACACTTGCCGTGCATTGAAATAAGCAGGACTCTTCACTTTAATTCATTTACACAATGTGCCAGGGTACTGTGCCGTAGTCGGGAAGTTTTCCATAGTATATCTAATAGCAGTCTGTTCAGCTTGTGTCCGGTTGCCTAATCGGTTCACCTCCCATTTCCGGTCAGTTCTTTCCGATTGACTCCCCCAACATCATCTCCCACTTTTCAATATTTAACCACCCCAAAATTTCTTATCAGCCATTGCTTTTTATCCCCCCCCCCGCGGAGCTATCTTCATGACATGATTTATTGCACCGTCCACGTCGCCACATAGTACGGAATGCCATGCTCCAAGTTCACCCCGCCTTCCCCTGTGTCATTTCAACAGTGTCTCGTCCGGCCTACATTTTTCACCTTCATATCATTGGGAGTTTTCCGACTCTGGTGTCATCCTAAACTTTCTCGTGGGCACCGAATGCTGGTTGAATTCACGCCTTCTCTTCCAGTGCCAATTCTGCTAATGTGATGGGTGTGTCATACCAAATTGAACAGATGGGCCAACCGAGCGAGCCATACAGCCAATGAGAGATGGGCATAACGGATTGAATTGCTGAACATGAATTGGTCAACATTCATGTGAGTTAATCACCATATGTTTAACTGAGTTAAAGGAAGATCCTCATCTTCTTAGAAGAGTCCTTAGTTCTGGATGTGAATATGTAACTTATATCGAGGAGTTTGGCTTGCTAAACGTGCTGTAAATTTCGCCGTTAACTTTGCCGAATAAACGCTTGTCCCTGAAGTACTGAGTTCTGTAACATAGTGTCAGCGAACACAAAGACGAATCCTACCGGCGGCGTTCGGATGCTGTTTGGATTACCATCGTCTATTCAGGTGTCTGCCCCATTCAACATGGATGAACGGAACTTGACAAGTAATTGGCGTCTATGGAAAAGCAAGTGCATGGATTTTCGCCCCTTCGTACGTTTGGACTAGCAACTGATGGCGTATCTCTTGCCCATATTTCGACACGCAGCCGTGGATGACGCGCGCCGAATGATAGACATTGCAATACGACAAAAGCGAAGATCCAAATAATTTGGTGGCGGTCATTGAAAAGCTTAGTGAATTTTGCGAAGGGCGAACGTTTAAGACTTATCAGCGCTAACTTTTCTTTCCGCGCAACAGCGGCCCAAACAAATCTGTCGATGCGTACATCACTGAGTTGAAGACTTTGGCGTGATCCTGCAATTTCTTTAAATGCATGGGCGACGGTCTCATACGCGATCGGATCGTTTTAGGAATTAATGCTGAAAGTAGGACAATGTGACTTTAGCGACAGCGCAATTTATCGCTCCAGCAGTGCATCGATATCTGTAGCATTAAATTCTCGACCGCGTTTCAAAACCAACAAATGCAACTCGCAACTAATGCAAAATGGTG